TTGCAAGTAAATTAGGATTATTTTTGAACACGGACCACTTCATAATGATGGATTTGACATTTCTTTTCTCCAGGATGAGGGTCCTTCCTGGTTGCCTTCATCTCTACTTCATTCCTTTCTTGTTCAGTGGAGCACACGGATTCCTAACGTGGAGAATACCCACAGCCTTCCCAGTAGTTTATAACTACTCCTATTCCAACCTCTCCTCTGTCTCAGAAGCACAAGCCCCCAAAACAGCAAGAGCTCTCAATTTCTCACATAACGTCATTGAAAAAGTAACCAAGAGGGACTTAGAAGGTTTTGAGGCGCTGGAAGTTCTGGACCTTTCCTACAATCGGATTCGGGATGTTGAGCCCGGTGCACTCCAGAGCCTGCTCAGCCTGGTTTCTCTGAATTTGTCATTCAATGACGAGAAGCTGCTTCTATCAGGTCTCCCACCCCACCTGGAGCTCTCACCCACCGGCAACGCCTCGGGGTCTTTGCAGTTTTCCAAGAATTCTGGTAAGTCCCCAGAGGCTGCTCTGGAGCCTTCCGTGCCCACCAAGGAGCCGCCACCTTCCAGACATCCTCCTGTCCTGGAAAACCTTAACCCCAGGCTCAGGCGGAGCGCTGGGGATCTTCTCTGGAAGGGAGGGACAAACACAACAGTGTTTCCAACAGCCACACCAAGGCCCAGCCTCTGCGGAACTCCCATCAACGGGACACTGGATCTGTCCCACAGCAACCTCTCCGAGGACGAGTTGATGCTAAAACTGGACGGGGACGCCTGCCAAGCTCAGCTGGCCAGCGTTCTGGAGCTTGACATCAGTCACAACGACCTGAAAATGGACCTCGTGTCGCTGTTCGTCCTGTTCCTGCCGATGGAAAACGTGCGGTCGATCGACGCCAGCTCCAGCAATTTAACCATCAACATCCTGGATGTGGGGGCCATCTGCAAGTTCCCATTCCACCAGCTTTTCTTCGTCAACATCAGCCACAACCCCATCAACAGCCTGGACACGCTGTGCCTCCCTTCCACCATCAAGGAAATCGACTTGTCCTTCACCAACATCAGCCAAATCCCCCGGAATTTCGCTGCCAAACTGCTTAACTTGGAAAACATGTACGTCCAAGGAAATCACTTCATCTACACGGCCTCTCCGCGCAGCGGGAACGCACTTCCAACGTGTGTCCCTCCCCCTGGGACCGTGCACATCGAAGCCATTTCCCTTGTCAGGACCCAGTTCGGGACACCCATTGAAAGCCTTCCCAACAAAGTGAAACACCTGGGCATGTCCAACTGCTCCATCGTGGAACTGCCGGAGTGGTTTGCTGACACCATGGAAGAATTGTTATTTTTGGATCTCAGCCACAACCGCATCTCTGCGCTTCCCAACTTCCCTCCCTCCCTGCGGCACCTCGACATCAGCAACGGCGACATCAGGGTCATCCCCCCCAGCCTGAGATCCCTCTCCAACTTAACAACATTTAACATCCAAAACAACAAAATCACGGAGATGCACGTGGAGTATTTCCCATCGGCTCTGAAAACCTGTGACATCAGTAAAAACAGGTTGAAGGTGCTGCCCTTAACCAAGGCCCTGGGGAACCTGGAACACCTCAACGTTTCTGGGAACCTGATTGCCCGGCTGGAAACTGGCGACCCCCTTCCCGCGCTCGCCAGCCTGGACAGCAGCCACAACCTCATCCCAGAGCTGCCCGACGGCCTCGGGGATTCCCTCCTGGCGCTGAAATATCTCAATTTATCGGGGAATAAGATCTCCTTTCTGCAGCGTGGCTCCCTCCCAGCCTCTCTGGTGGAGCTGGACATCAGCGACAACGCCATCACCACCATCGTGGAGGACACGTTCGGCCCGCTGACGAGCCTGAGGGTCCTGACTGTCCAAGGGAGACACTTCTTCTGCACCTGTGACTCCTACTGGTTCGTGAACGTCTACATCCACCAGCCCCAGCTGCAGATCAGGGGCAGGGGGGGCGTGAGGTGCAGCTTCCCCCCGGACAGGAGGGGCTCCCTGGTGGAGAGCAGCCGCCTGACGCTGCTGCGCTGCTCCCTGGGGCTCCAGCTGGGAATCACCGCCGGCACCGCCGCCCTCGCCGTGCTCCTGCTCACAGCCCTGTGCTGGCACTTCCACGGGCTCTGGTACATCAGGATGGGCTGGTACTGGTGCATGGCCAAGAGGAGGCAGTACGAGAAGAGGCCTGAGAACAAGCTCTACGACGCCTTCATCTCGTACAGCGAACACGACGCCGCCTGGACCAAAGAGAACCTGCTGGAGAAGCTGGAGAACGACGGGTTCAAGATCTGTTACCACGAGAGGGATTTCAAACCGGGCCACCCCGTGCTGGGGAACATATTTTACTGCATAGAGAACAGCCACAAGGTCCTGTTTGTCCTCTCCCCCAGCTTTGTGAACAGCTGCTGGTGTCAGTACGAGCTGTACTTTGCCGAGCACCGGGTCCTGAACGAGAACCTGGATTCCCTCATCATGATCGTGCTGGAAGACCTCCCGCCCCACAGTGTCCCACAGAAGTTCAGCAAGCTCAGGAAGCTGCTGAGAAGGAAAACCTACCTGAAGTGGAGCCCTGAGGAGCACAAGCAGAAGCTGTTCTGGCATCAGTTGAGAGCGGTCTTAAGGACAACCAACGAACCCCTCGTGAGAGCAGAGAACGGAGCTGCTCAGGAGATGTACGAGCTGGAATGAGACCTGAGGAACTGGGAAGGTTGTGCCTGGAAAGCCTGTGGTCAAACAGAAGTGTTTACCTCCTGCAAAGGCTCAGTGGTGCCACAGGGTTTGCCTGGATCAGCCCCAGGAGAGGTCACTGGCGGGACTGTCGCGCCTGCGTTATTCCCTCTGATAAAGGAATCCCGAAGGGATGAGACCCAAGTGCTGAGAAACAGCCTTTTCTTCCCAGGTGCTTGAATTTCTCCAGCTATTTCCAGCATTTCTGCAAGTGCAGTGGATGTCACCTGAAGGGAAGAACAGCTCAGGTCACACTGCGTGTCCTCGCTGCTTTCTGAGGTGGTTGCAGTGATAAGGGATGTAAAGATTCCCAGAGTAAAGATTCCTGGTTCCAGGACAGCCTAAGGTGGGAACACACCTGTGTGCAGGGAAGAAAGCCACAAGCCAGGCTGGCACACAGGCTGCAGCTCCCTTCTGTGGTTGGAGCAAGAAAAGATGAAAGATTTACTAAATTCAGCCACCTGAGAGGTGCCATAGCAAACCCACACTGCCCCAGCTTTTGGCCTCTGTGACTGCTGTGAGAGAGGAGACTTGGAAACTTCTATAAGCACAAAATAAAACATACAACCAATGCAAATACCAGCTGAGTGTGTCGGTGTCTGCTGTTAGGTAACTGGGATTAGCTTTGTTTCATCACAAATCTCTGAATAAACAAAGTTTTGTACATTGTTATTTAGATTTAGGAAAGCTTCACTGTGACAACAGCCACCCTGACCCATTTCCAAGGGACTCAGTGCCACCTCTGCATGGCCCTTGTCCTCACCTAGTGCCACTGGCTGATTTCATTTATTGTGTTTGGGAAAAAAATAAAAGGAAATTCAGCTGATCTAATTTTCACATTCAAGGAAAAATCAACAGGCTGTGGCACAAAATAAACACCAGGTGAGGACAAATCGTTTGGTGGAGCACCAAGTCTGGACTTGCTCCTACAATGAGTGAACCCAAATGACTTCCCAGCAGAAGATCCCAGATCCAGGAATTGCAGGAGGTCTGTGTGCAGCATGTCTGGAACACAGACTCTGAAAGGGAATTAGCTCTGCTGTGACAAAATAAGACAAATCCAGACCTATTTGCTGCCAAAAGGGGGGGGTCACGAAACAAAGATCTGCATTTACAGAGAGATCTCCCAGAACTCACCAGGTGCAAACCCACCTTTCCTCAGCAGCATCAACTGCTTGGAGGTCTTAGATTTAGAGGTTGAAAAAATCCAACCCTGCAGCCCAGCAGCTGAAAAAGCCAACTCTTACCACCCACAGAGATTTAGGACTTAGAAACGCTGTGAATTATAAAAGCATTTCAATGTTTCTGTTCATTTAAACAACCAGAAGTCACTTGTTAACAAGATTAAGGAGCCCCAAGTCATTCAGCAGCTGTTTTTCTAACAAGCTTCTTTATGCTTTCTCCTTTCTTTCTCAACCATCCAGTGCTCACATTTCTCACTTCCTCTCTTCCCACACGTTTCCCACCTCCTTTGTCCCGCACTTTGTTCCTTCCCTCTGCCTGGATCTCTGCTTTTCAACCTTGCAGTCACTCTTTGCTGGTTCCTTACTGGACCTTTACTGGTTCTCTGCTCAGCAAGGAGCTAAAAGAAAAAGGAGAAGTTATGCTCCCAATTATTTTCTCACAAAATTGATTAAATCAGTCCACGGTTCTCTGTGAAGTTGTACCTCCCTATTCCCAAAATCCAACCTCGATTTACTACACCCACAAACATCCCACACAACAATGACCTCAGTAAAACTGACAACTTCAATCAGGTTTTGCTCCTACTGCAGATGAAAAGGTGCTGCACTTTCCTGTGCAGCAGGAAAATTAACCCAAATATTAACACAAGGGTGGTATATCAGGAGCACAGTTGGCACCAAGAGTCAAAGTCTTTTTCATATTAACACATCACATAAAGGCAACAAAACCTCCTTTTCGGACCCTTCTTGCTTTACTCCCACGTGAATATTCAATGCAAACGACTTCTATGAATGAGGTGTGAGGGGTTTAACCTTGTAGCTCGTGCTGAAGTTCATGTGATCCAAACTAAAGGCACAGGAGAAGCTGCACACACACACAGCAAACCCCAAAACTGCTTCATCTGTATTTTTTCCCCTCCAGCACAATTTATACCGAAAAGAAATTCAACTGCAGAACAAACAAACAAGACTTTTTAGTTATCTTCTATACTTATTTTAGAAAGAACCATGTTATTCATTTGGAGAAAAAAAAAATATCTGGGCAGAGACAAAAGACTGATGGAAATAATTTCAATTTTACGTTTATATTAGAAAGTTGTTCACATCGGTTTTATTGCAAGAAAGCTGGTTCTAATTATTCAAAACTAATTCAAATTCAGTGCTCAACAAAGAACAGTGTTCCAGGAAAACCTCCAAAGCAGTTCAGTGAACAAAAAGCCCGAACCAACAACTCTCACACGCAGCAGTTACCGTGGATGTTCTTTTGTTCCTTGTTTCCAAAGTAACAAATCACCTTCCCATCGCTGGCATTTTCCTAAAGATGTGGCAGTTTTCCTGTAAGGAGGTACCAAACGTCTGTGGCAGGGTTGTTTTGGAGACGCTGAGGCTCTGCCGAAGGTGAAAGGTGATTGCTTGTTTGGCAGAGATTTGGTGACCCAGAGCCGGAACCCTCGGGAATTTAAATGTCCCGAGTCATTGTGTCTCACAGGGAATTCCCACAACATGTGACACAGCACAAAAATAAAACACAGTTCCTTTCCAGTTATTTGCTTGCTGTGTAGACCGACAGAGAAAGTTTCTAAGCAGACAGATTAAATCAAACTGATGTTAAGATTTCCTAAACAAAAAAAATCTCCAAAACTTGTAGTTAGTCGGGACGTGGTTTTAAAAATGTTAACAGCTGTCAGTTCTGCCTGTCCCAATTTATAAAAACCACGCACAAAGGAGCAACAAGGAACACAACTCCATGCCTAACAGCTCACCAGTTAGGGAATTCCAGAGGTGACTGCATTACTCCTGTCCTAGAATATTGCAACATTCATCTTTATCCTCACATAACACCAATAAGTAGGTATTGCACAGATACTTCTAGCAGAAGTAAAACACCTCTCCAAATTATTTTGGGGTACACAACACCATCATCCTTAAAATGAGCACCCAGCAGATATTGATATATAAACTGCAGAGGTTTATTCCAGGGCTGTACTTCCCAAAAGTCCTTCCCAGAGGAAATATAACACCGACTAATGCCTTGTCCCACTTGAAGAGGCAGAGATCAAACTCCTGAACTTCAGTGGAACCTGATGGAAATTTTGCCATTTACCTCAAGGGACCCAGGGTTTCACCCTGTGAATAGAAAGGGCTTTTGTTATTACTGAAAGGTGCCACCAGTTTTTCCAACCTTCTGAGATGAGAGAAGTTTCAACTCCAGTAATACCAAGCACCTTCCCAATTCTTCCTTCTTGAAAATACAAGATATTTGTAATACTCTGCCTTATCACAGAAAGGGTTGGGTTGGAAAGCTCATCCAGTCCCACCCCCTGCCATGGGAAGGGACACTTTCCATTAGTCAAGGTTGCTCCAAGCCCTACCCAACCTGGCCTTGTGACATAATAAATCACATAGTTACAGCATTTACTTTCTTTACTCGTCCAGCAGTAAAATTCAGTACCAAAAACACCCTCACGTAACGATCCCAAACACAAATCTAAAACGTATCCCCCTTTTTGACTCGCCAATGAAATTCCAGAGAAATCCCCTGACGGTCACTGCAGCAATCACCAAACAGCTGGACACCAACAGGAATGGCACTGCCATTAACTGGCAGCAGTGCTGTGTCACCTCCCCAGTCACCCTCGGGGGTGGTGGGTCCGGCTACACCGAAGGCACCGGGATGTGCCTGGTGAGGGCAGCACCGCAGTCCCGGCCCACGCCGGGGGTGGGATGGGCGATGTAGGGCTTGGAAAAGCCAAACGTGGAGCTGACCGGCTGCAGGCTGTTGGGGGTGCTCACTTCTTGGGAAGGGCTGCTGTTGTACACGCTGTAGTAGGGCTCGATGCGGGTGTTCATGGGGGTGGAGCTGCTCTGGCCGCAGTGCTGGTGGCCCGCGGAAGCCCTGGGGCTCAGCACGCTGTCCTTGGAGTGGCTGGGAGCGCAGGCCTGCTCCAAGCTCTTCTTCTGAGCCTTCGGAGACAACATGTACGCCGAGTTGGTCTCGTGGTGGGAGGACTTGTTCCTGTTGACTTCCAGGCTGCCCTTGCCCATGGCCTGGAGCCTGGTCCTGTGCTTGCAGCAGCAGAAGACGAGGGCGGCGTAGCGCAGGCACCACAGGACGCGCCGCCGCAGCCCCGCGCTGTTGCGGGAGTAGATGAAGGGATTCAACCCGGACTTGAAAAAAATGAGGGTAAACCCACACAGCTCAAACTGGTAGAGGACGAAGCCCCCGCTGCCGGACAGCACGTCCTGCACCAGGGAGATGCCCAGGGGCAGGCAGCACACCAGCACGGAGAGCACGATGACCACGCACGTCCCCACGGCCCGGGAGTCCTTGGCCGTGGCCAGGTTGACAGCCGACGCCAGCGGGAGCCGCCCGGCGTGCTTGGGCTGTCCGGGGGCCTGCCCACAGCTCTGGGTCCGGTACAGGGCTGGCTGTGGCCGGGGGGTGCCCACGGCCAGCATGGGCGGGCCCTGCCTGGCGCACGCGTTCCTGCGCAGGGCCCGGGCGATCATCACGTAGGACACGGCCACCACGGCCACGCAGCAGATGAAGTCGGCGATGTAGAGGTAGAGGACGAGCCTGCCCCGGCCGCTGGCCAGGCTGGCCACGGGCAGGCAGCGGCGGGAGCCACGGGCGCGCAGCGTGGCCAGGGTGGCCAGGGTGAAGCTGGCGGCCCAGAGCCCCAGCGTGAGCAGCAGCGTGCGGGGCGCCGAGGCGGCGCGGGGCGGCTGCCGGCCCAGCACCACGCGCAGTCGGTGCAGCGCGATCGCCGCCACCGTCTTGAGGGACATGATGATGAAGCCAGAGCTGGTGAGGTGGAAGGTGAAGCAGAAGGCGCCCGGCACGCCGCGCGCCGGCCCCAAGAACAGCACGAAGGCGAACATGGGGGCGGCCACGCCGCAGAGGAACAGGTCGCAGAAGGACAGGTTGAGGATCATGAAGTCGAAGTCGGTGCGGAATTTGCGGAGGGCCGGGTCGAAGAAGGAGAGCAGCACGATGAGGTTGCCGTAGGAGCCCAGGCAGAAGACGAGGGCCAGCAGGGAGGCGCAGGCGGCCAAGGTGGCGGCGTGGGTGCCCTCCCGCAGCTCCGCGGGGCCGCTGCCGTTTGCGCCCAGCTGCTCCTCCCCGGGCCCCGCCGGCAGCCGCCCCGACCCGTTCATCGCCCGCTCACCGCCGCCTCGGGGGGCTCATCCCCGGCCCGGCCCCCGCCGCCTCGGGGGGCTCATCCCCGGCCCGGGCCCCGCCGCTCACCGCCGGCTCTCCGCCGCCATGGCGCCCGGGCCCGGCCCCTTCCCCGCCCGCCCCGCTCCGCGGCGGGGCCGGACCCGCAGCCCCCCCGCGCTCCCGGCGAAGGCGGGCCCGGGGCTGCCCCGGAGCGGGGCGGGGGATGCGGCACCGGCCTCCCCAGAGCTCCCCAGAGCCTCCTTTGGCGCTGCTGCACCGCCCCGTTCTCAGCTTGGATGCAACGGGCTGTGCCAGCACAGAACGGTTTGTGTGGGAAAGGACCTTAAAGATGATCCAGTTCCACCCCCTGCCGCGGGCAGGGACACCTTCCATTAGCCCAGGTTGCTCCAACCTGGCCTTGGACACTTCCAGGGATCCAGAGGCAGCCACAGCTTCTCTGGGCAAGCTGTGCCAGGGCCTCCCCACCCTCCCGGGGAGGAATTCCTTCCTAAAATCCAATCTCAATCTACTCTCTTCCAGTTTGAACCCATTCCCCCTTGTCCTGCCAGTACTTGCAAACAGCCTTGCCCTGACTTTCCTGTAAGTTCTCTCCAGGCACTTCAAGGGATCGTTCTGAAATACTCACAGGGAGGTGAAGTCCAGAAAACTCTCCTTGCACGTTCTCCCAGCTGGCTCAGGCACACACACAACCCAGGGGCCTCCGTGTCACTGGAAATGCAGGTTGAAGAGATCAAAATCCAGCCAGGCAAGGCACAAAACCACTATGGAAGTACAGTAGATCCAGTTTCTGACTTATGCATGGTACTTGTCTTACAATCATATATACATCAGTCTTAAACTTGTCTTAATAACCATCCCCTACCCCAGCAATCATACAGAGTTGTTCTTAAACTAGGTGTGTACAGGAGGGGGAAGGTCCAAAACCCAAAACATGGTTTCCTGTGGCTTCAAGGTATGTTCCCTCTCAGCTTGGCTGTCCCTTATTTTCCCTCTTACTTATAACTTTTGTTCTCCAGCCTTGGTAAATTTGAATTCTGTGGGTGAATCCTACTGAGCCCTACTGACTACGAGTTGTTTTTTCAGGGGCAAGCTGGGCTCTCCCTCCTTGGATTTTATTATTTACAAATATCAGAGGACATTGCATTACATGATTAAACAAGGCTGACAAAATGTCAGCCTAATGCAAGAGCAAATTACTTCAAAGTGGTTAATGCTGAGGAAATAGTGAGGATTGTTCCCTTCCCATGAAACCAAGGAGCACAAGATCCTCACCTGCTTTCTGAGCAGGCAACACACCTCACTTCAGCTGGACACAAGACCCTGGATAAAAACTGACCTCAGCTTCACACTACGTCTAACCCCTGAGGCCAAAGCCACAGGAGTAACAACACATTTTGCATAACAAGAGTCCTCTAAAAGGTTGGGAAGGTTTGTGTAACTCCAGGTGTGCTCTGGCCAAATGCTCAGCCCTGGGTGACCACAGTTCAGATTCCAGTTCCTAAAAGAGCAGGCAGAAACACACTCACAGAAATAAAGATGCATCTGTCTCACGGGATTGTTTTCAGCAAAAGGAGTGAGCAAGGCTGAGTCTCTGAACTCTTGCATGCTTTTGGAACCCCTGAAAATGGATTTAGGAGTCAAAACTGTAATCCTGGGCTTTACAGCAAGTCGGTTGCTTTAGAACTAGTTACCTGCAAAAGAGCCAAAGAAAACTCTGATTTTTCTCTTGGTAACAGGTTTAGATTGTCACTCATTTCACTAACACAGTGTTTAACAGGTCTGTGAGGAGCAAGGGTGGGTTTAGTCAGGATGTTTTACCCTAATTGCAGTTTCAAATGAAGGAAAAGTATTGCTGGTTAAAGTCTGAAAGGTTCAAACATTCCAGCAGAAAAGAGGGAGAAGGGTTTGTACTCGGGGAGCAAGGAAATGAGCTGAGGCAAAAAAAGATCCCCACGGGAGCACAAACCCCTGGCCGGCCCCTTTGGCACAGCAAAGTGTCTCACTGGACTGTCCCTTTTTAAAAGAGCTTTTTAACTTCTTAAAAGAACTGTCAAAGTTTGGGGTGGAAGAGAAAAGCATGGGAACAAAGCCTGTTTTGCAAGGCAGGAATCACAAGAGCAACAACTCACCTTTAATCCATCAGAAATCAAAGGTAGAAGCTTACAAATATTATCAGAATTATCAGTGCTGAGAACACCCTTGATGCAAGACCACTTTCCTCAGAGTCACTCTCCCTCCCAGGGAGAGAAAACTAACCCTTTTCCCCCCCTCTCACCTCAGGGACTTTCCCTCCTAAATCTCTCTTAACATCTCTGAGAAGCACCTTCATTAGAAATCCTCTTCTGCAGAGCCTGTGCCCCAAGGTGGCTGTGGACAGTGAGTATCCTGTGACAGGGAAATCCCCCAAAAGCTGCCTTCCAGGTACTGCCAGTGAGGATGTAAAACACGTCAGCTGGTAACTCACAGCAGGGTTAAAGTTAAAACATTCCAAGGACAGGGGCCAGCAAAACCTTCTGCTGCCATGTGGGTTTATTTTCCCTTTTACATCTCACCAGATCATTGTGTTTTCCACAGCACAGGGGAAGCTGGAGGCTCTGCTGCAGGATTCCAGGGAGCCTGAAGCTGTGGAGGAAAGTGTGAGACTGAGCAGAGTGTGGGATGCTGGGGATGCCTAACTGTGAAAAACTGCCAGGAAACATCAGTGCACCCAGCACAGGGCTCCCAGCAGCCTGGGAAAGGATACAAAGGATGAAAGGGGACATACCTGGATGTAAAAGGGACACATCAGAAAAAAGGACCTTCATCCCTTTTACTCTCTAATTAAAACCCCAAACCACCACACACAAATTAGTTCGACTTGTCAGTAACACATCCAATTTTGAGCCCGTGGTACCACCCAAAAGCACAAGTTTAAAGTGTTATTCACCTACTGGATGATTTTTCTCATGTATTTTTATCAAAATAAGCATCAAATATACCTGGTTATGGAAATATGGGAGATTACACCACTTAATGTGACCATTTAATGTTCTAGCACAAGAATAACTGAGCAGAGGCTCACTGGCAACTTGAGCAAAAATACACAAAACAAAATCAACCAACCAACAACAAAAACCCCCCAAGCAAACAAACCCCCCCCCAAGCAAACAAAAAACCACCCAAAAACCTCCCACAAATGAATTCTACCTTACATTTTTGCCCTTCCCTGGTGCTTCACAGTGTGGTCACAGGTTATCTGTGCAGACTGACAGGTCCCTAAGGCTATCAAGGCTACCAGATCATCTCCAAGGTGTTTTTCCATCTCCCTTCCTGTTCCAAGGGGAAAAATTCTCTCTTCTCATGCTAGAGCTGTCTCCCTCTCCAGACTGAGGTCCTGGAGTTGGTTCATCTCAAAGGCTTTAGGGAACAGACAGTAGAAGACAAAGTGATGGCAGCTCCGGATTCAGGATGTGTGTGTTGCTCGGGGAAAGTCAGGGAATAAAAGCAGTAATGGAGTTGTGGTCTTTGATGAAGATCTCAAAACTGTTCCTACAGTTCCAGAACAGGAGACTAACAATCCTTCCCTCACCAAAACTCAGTCAGGACAGGTTTGTTCACACTACCACAGGTGTATTTTGAACTATTTTGCTCTATTTACCAGGTGATCAGATTGGATCAAGGAATTGACTGTGGATTCACAACTGGTTGTTGGGAATTAACACCACCTCTGACCACAGAATTCCTTACTGGATCTTGCAGCCAGTTCCAGCTACACTTTGACTAAGAAAAGAAACTCCCAACACAGCACAAAGCAGCAGAGCTGGATCCCACCGTGACCTGCCCTCCAGGTAGGCAGGACAGCACGTGCAATATCTGCTGCAACAGTTCACCAGCCAACACATCCTCTAAAGATGATCCTCTGCACCAAATGCTTTCCATCACTTATAAAGTTTCTCATTCTATCAGCAAACCCATCTCCACTAGAAACTAGTTTCTCCAAATCTCAGAAGTTACTGAGTGTTTTCCTGGTACAAAGTGTTTTTCCACAAATGCAGCAGCTCGTTTCCCAGCCACCAGAACAAGGTCCTCAATTAACCCTTAGGATTGCCCTGACTCGCTGCCAGATCCCAGGGCAAACAGAGGCCTCGCCCAAAAGCTCAAGAGAGCAGCAACGACCCGAAGCTGAGGTCTCAAAATGAGACTTGAGAAACACAGTGAGCTGCAGGTGTTACAAACAGTCCCTTTATTGGGTCGTTCACTACGTACACAGCTGAGATCAGAGTTTGGCACTACCCTATTCAGGGGTACATCCGTGTGCCCACACTGCTCCCACCATGACCCGACCCCCAGGTAGGCAGGACAGCACGTGCAATATCTGCTCCAACAGTTCACCAGTCAACACATCCTCTGCACCAAATGTTTTCCATCACTTGCAAAGTCTCTCGTTCTATCAGCAAACCCATCTCCACTACAAACTAGTAACTTCTGAGAACTGGAGAAACTAAGTGTTTTCCTGGTACAAAGTGTTTTTCCATAAATGCAGCAGCTCGTTTCCCAGCCACCAGAACAAGGTCTTCAATTAACCCTCAGCACTGCCTTGACTCGCTGTCAGATCCCCAGGACAAACAAAAGCCTCACCCAAAAGCTCAAAAGCACAGCAACGACCTGAGGTCTCAAAACAACCGATTTCCACTTGAGAAACACAGCGAGCTGCAGGTGTTACAAACAGTCCATTTATTGGGTCTTTCACTACGTACACAGCTGAGATCAGAGTTTGGCACTACGCTATACAGGGGTACATCCGTGTGCCCACACCGCTCCCACCATGACCCGGGAGCTCCCAACTCTGGGATCGGTCACACGCTCGGAGAAAGGTCTCGGTGCTCCCTCCCATGCAGGGAACAGGGAACACACACCCCAGCTGATGGGCTGTTCCTGTGCACCTCCCGTTCCATGAGGGTGTCACACCAGGGTGTGTGATAGCAGCACACACGTG